TTTTTTTTCAATCTGAAATGTGTACAAACAAAAATGAATGAATGAATCCACTCTGATTACTTTTTTTTTAAATTGAAAATTGAAAATCATTTTCCATAGAATGATGATGAAAGACATGCGAAAAAAAAACAATATTTGTAATTTGTAATTTTTATTTTTCCCCTTCATTTTATCAATTCATTACTTTATTATTATTATTATTATTATTATTAATTAATTAATTATTATTGATAATTGAATAAATTACAAATTAAAAGATTTTAAAAAACGAAAAAATACTTTTAATTTTTCTTTTTAATTTTTAAGATTCATAGATGGCGTTCGAATCTTGTAAAATTTAAATTTTGGCCAAAAAACATTCCAATTTCCATTTCCATTTGATTAATGTTTCTGCATCAAACATAAAGTTTGTGATGGCGGCCATCAACCTAATAATAATTATCATTGAGAAAAGAATAATGGAAGAAAATCATTTTTGCAAAACAACAAAAACATTTATTCAAATGAAATTCAATTGTTTCAAACAAAAACCACGAAACGAAACGAAAAACAACAAAAAAAACATATTAGTTCTGATTGATTGGTTACATTACATTACTTATTTACTAAGTTAGTTAATTGAATGACAAAATTATCACTATTTTCACTTTCATAACATCACCGTTCATTATCAATCAATCAAACAAATCAAAATCAAAATCAGATTTCATAATGTCCGTTTAATTTATTGGCTTGTTTTTGTGTTTTCAATGAAAAAACAAATCAATTGAGCAACCAGCAATTAGCAAATTTTTTCGTTGTTGTTGAAAACGTTTTTTTTTCCTTTTCAGAAATACAAATACAAATCAATAATGTTTCCATTTTCATTGTTGTTTAATGAATTTTGCTCAAGATTTGACAATTGACAGATTTAGGTTGATATAGCCGAATGACGATTGACGAAAAACATGATGGAAACAGAAAGATTTTCGGGTCTTTTTTCATTTCATTTTTTTATTTAATTAAATCAAAATTTTCAACAAGAAACTAAATTTGAAAAATTGATTTACAGCAAATTTCGTTTGTTCGGTCGGTTATTATCATTTTTATTAGATCCGGATTTTGTTTTGAAAAAAAACAAACAAATGAACGAAGAAAGCCGACAAACAAATAACACAAAAAAAATTGATCCAGATCTGTAATCAGATTGGATTTTTTTACAAAAAAAAAAATGATAGTTTTTTTTCACTTTTCCCGAATTTTTATTGTTGATTTTTTCATCCTTCACCCATTCATTCATCACCATCATTTCATTTCATTTCAGGAAATAATAATGGCAACAGGATTCGAGAAAAAATGGATATTTGTTTTCTTTTAATAAGTGTTTTTTTCAATAATGAAAATCAAATCAACTTTTAAAATCTTTTCAATTTAAGTTTTTTGTTGAAGAAAATTATCGGGTTTTTTTTTCTTAATTTTCTAAATCCAAATAGGATTTTTTTTTTATCTATCCTTTTAGGGTTTTTTTCTTCTTTTCTTCTTTTGGTTTCTGACATTATCGGTTTATGGTAAACTTTTTCGTTTTTTGAAACTGATGGAAGAAAAGCAAAATCTTAATCTGTTTTTCGTAGGATTCTTTCTTTCTTTCGGTTTGAAAAAAAAGAATAATTTCTGTTTTCTGTTGTTCACAATAACAAAAGCAGATTAACATTTACAAATCAAATTGAATTATCACCAAAGTGTGTATCTATATGTGAAGATAATAATCCTACCATGATGATGACGATGACGTTGATGACGACCAAGAAGAATCAATTAATCTTGTCATCATTATCTTTGTTTTAGTTTTAAAGATAACTTAAGTGAATCATCATCAATCTGTCTGGTGTAAAATTTATTGAAAATAATCATAGAGATTATCTTTTCGGGATGATTTCTCTCTCTCTCTCTCTCTCTCTCTCTCTCTC